AATTTACGATACTGAGTCTGAGCAATCGTCGTATAATCGTTGATGTTATTTTTATACTCGCAAGTTGTGATCAACACTAGACCATACTGGTATACACAACTACGCTTTCTACTTGACAGGTCTAAGTAGCTGAGGAGATTGGAATTATTTGCCCGACATGACTGTGTTGTCAAAACATTTTTAGTCTGAGACTCGGCATAATTTTCAAGCTTCTAGATAGCATTAATATGGCTTATATTTTAGTAAACACGAGTCATATTTAGCCCGTTATTCCATTCTGACCGTATGGTAGGGAAACGTAGCCTATTTCATTGTTCCGACAGCATTAGAGCAAAACTAATGACTTAATTATAAACGCATAGGAAACTTCTATAACATTTTCTATTTACAAATGCGGTATGCTTGGTAACCAGGCCAGGGACCACTTTTTGAAATCAGGGACCATTTTACCGAAATCTGCTAGGCTCTCTCGCTGAAGCGTTCCGCACAGCACACCCAGGCATAAAACTTTTAAGACTTATTTAAATATATCAAAGCAGCGAATAGAGAGAGAGCCTGGGACTGGGCTGTATCCAAGGTGTTTTGTGCCTGAGTTTTTCTGCAGAAATTGGCGATACTTTTGTTGATTCAAGCGACCGTATTAATGTGTGAAATAGTTGACAGCCTTAGGATATTATACCTTATTATATAGTAGAGAGTGAGATACTGAAAAATACACAGTGAGATATTTTCCATATCTTCACTAGCATGAAGATTTCTTTTGAGCGTGAAGTTTCACAACTTTTTTCTTGGGACTATATAATAAACAGAACATTACACGGTGGCTTGAAGATGACTTTTATCTTCTCGTGTTAAAAACAATATTTTACTCACTCGCTGCGCTCGTTCGTAAAATATTGTTTTCATCACTCGAAGATAAAAGTCATATCTTCAAGCCGCCGTGTAATTAAGAGTCATTTATCACTTATTTACTGAGACCGAGGGAAACAGTGTGTTTTGTGGACCCGAGACCGTCGATGTTTCCCGAGGCGAAGCCGAGGGAAACATCGACGGTCGAGGGTCCACAAAACACACTGTTTCCCTCGGTCTCAGTAAATAAGTGATAATTGTCAACCACAATGCATTTGTTTACATCTTTACCTTCGGAAGTGAGAAATAGCAACAAATGAAGATAATAAACATTTCTTTGGTGCAATTTTAGTATAAAAAAGTTAAAATTAGCAAGTATAACCACAGGATGGTAGTAATATATTATGGATTGAAAACCGAAACATCTATTATTCCGCCATTAAAATGGCCGCCAAGCAGGTTTGGGGCGCAATGCTTTGTGGTTGACACATTGTTTAATTTTCATCCATCAACTTCTAAAGTCAGATGCAATATATCGCGTAAATTAATTTACCAGAGAAAAACCCAACTCACCATCTGCTGTTTTAGTTTCTTTAGCCACGGTTTATCTTGGCTTTGATAGACTCACTACGGGAATTAAAAAATAGCTCATTAATGTTTAGATATCTTAAATAAAATAGCGACATTTTACAGATAAATTAAGGCTGTGTTTTGTAGAAAAGGAGAGGGGGACCTGTAATATAATTTCAGAGGGGGGTGAATTTTTATCTAACAGGGTTATATTTAGGAAAAAATGTGCAATGGAACACTATACTGTATCATTTGATAATAATTATCATGTTGTGTATTGAAATGTATGCAATGAACGAATTTTTTGGTAACATTTTTTAAGAAAAATAGGATAAAAATATTAAATGTGTTGGTAAAAAGTAAAAAAAGTCAAACATAATAGTTTTATACATTAAGAGTAGTTACATAATAACTTACAGGGTAACACATATAACATATTGTTGACTTCCAACACCATTGAAGCAGTTTCGTTTCATTTTCTTGATTAGAGAAGAAGACGTCCGCCATCTTGTCTTTGACCACCATGATTTAACATTGAAATTTCTCAATAATTTCTTCATCATTCCTCTTCCAATTTGGCCCAAAATTTAACAAAACGTCCATTATGGTCTCGTCGCAATTTCTGTAGCATTTAATTGACTTCTTTTTTTTATTTTGGCAGAAAATAAAGAGTTTCCTCGATTTTTTCTGATGTACGTCCGTCGAAGCTATGCTGTAACTGACGTCACAAAGCATTGATTCATGGTATATATATCCCGTATGTACAAAATTGAATTTTCGGTATTCCTGTTTACGAAGCCTTAAGCTTAATTTTTAGCTTAAATTGAGGGTTTTTAGCCACAACTTTCAACTCAGATATTTCTTATATTTCTTCCTTTATAGTTATGTTTTTATTTCGCTCAAAAAACGCTCCTGAAGAGCGTTTGGTGTGTGTTTTTTTTTTATTTGCATGCTAATGAGTGCGGAAAGACATGTCCGATTTGTCGGTTGAGTTTAACTTTTCCTCCGTGGCCGAATGGTAACGGCAACTGTAGTGGGAAAAGCCACGCCCTTTGGTGTTTGCTGTGGATCGTCCCTCGCTTGCGACAACACAGGGACGAACCTAAAGGGTGTGAGTGACTCTCGAAAACAGTTGCCGGTACCGATAGGCTACTGAAGGAACGTTTAAACCTGCAGTAAATTTCTTCTACTTAATCATTTACCTTATGCTGGCCAGTCGGGGACCTGCATTTCGGGGGGCACCCAAAACAACAAGCTGCCGTGCAAGAAGGGCAATACAATTGCAGTGTAACACTACAACTGTACTGTCCTTCGTGCACGACAGCGAGTCGTTTTGGGCCAAACGACTAGATTTGTAGGACAAATCTAGTCGTTTTCCAAAAAAACGACTAGATTTGTCCAACTATATAGGGCCGACTTCGTCGCAATGATTGTGGTGCACTATTTTGTCATTGCTTCTGCGCAGTCGTTTCTTGTTGAATAAAGTTGTATATGGTACTCAAAATTTGTCCTTGAAAGGACCATGTATTGCATGGTTCTGGGTTAGATTCCCAGAGCAAAATATGTTCATATATACAACTTTCTTAGCGCAACTCCATGCAAGCTATGGAGAAGCTTATGATGTAAGTTATCATGGCCGACATACCAACGACAGTAGTTTTATATAGAAGATGAAATGTATAATAAACCGAAGGTTTGTTACTGTTACTGTACCAGGAATTGACCGAATACTGTTGTAATCACCCAGTCACAACAACGTAAAAGTTATGGCTGTTTCTTCCACATGCAACGAAGCTTTAAATGACATTATCAACAGTGTCCTCGCCAGATAGAAGTAATTTATGAGGCATTCGGTTTAAGATTCCCAGAGCATGTCTGTATACACAGCTACAATAGTGAAACTCCGTGTATACCATTTCGCAACTTACGATACAACGTATTACGGACGATAAACTAATAATTGAGAACGAAGTGTGAATGAAGCTACAAGGTTTAATCTTTGGATAGGAGGATAAGATAATATTCCGGAGCACGTTTCATGTGATATTTAACCGTGACAAATTACAATACTCGAGTTATCGAGCATGTATAATATAGTCTTTACAAGTAAGGTAAAGCTAGACTATACAGGTATAGTTAAATTTCAATATGAACACTCGTAGTGCAACTCCATATCGGAACTTACGATATCGCAACTTACGATACAACTAATTACGGACGATAAACTAATGATTGAGAACGAAGTGTGAATGAAGCTACAAGGTTTAATCTTTGGGTAGAAGGATAAGATAGTAATTCGGAGCATGTTTTGTGTGATATTTAACCGGCACAAATTATACAATACTTGAGTTTTCGGCATATGCCGGAGGCCGTTTACCGCAAACTCTGTATAAAAGTAAAGTTGGACATAGCTAAATTTCAAACTGAACACTCGTTTTACTCCAGATGCTTATAAACTCAAATGTCTCATAAAAGCTTTAGATACACATTACACCGTAGTTTACTGCACATATAATATAGTCTTTAAAGTAAAGTAAAGTAAAGTAAAGTAAAGTAAAGTAAAGTAAAGTAACCTATACTACATAGACGTTTAGTTAACGCTTCGAGTAAAATGAGTGTTCATATTGAAATTTAACTATATACCTGTATCGTCTAGCTTTACCTTACATTTAAAGACTATATTATACATGCTCGATAACTCGAGTATTTTAATTTGTCACGGTTAAATATCACATGAAACGTGCTCCGGACTATTATCTTATCCTCCTATCCAAAGATTATACCTTGTAGCTTCATTCACACTTCGTTCTCAATCATTAGTTTATCGTCCGTAATTAGTTGTATCGTAAGTTGCGATACTCGTAATTCGTACGTCCGTAATTAGTTGTATCGTAAGTTGCGATATCGTAAGTTCCGATATGGAGTTGCACTACGAGTGTTCATATTGAAATTTAACTATACCTGTATAGTCTAGCTTTACCTTACTTGTAAAGACTATATTATACATGCTCGAAATCTCGAGTATTGTAATTTGTCACGGTTAAATATCACATGAAACGTGCTCCGGAATATTATCTTATCCTCCTATCCAAAGATTAAACCTTGTAGCTTCATTCACACTTCGTTCTCAATTATTAGTTTATCGTCCGTAATAAGTTGTATCGTAAGTTGCGAAATGGTATACACGGAGTTTTACTATTGTAGCTGTGTATACGGACATGCTCTGGGAATCTTAAACCGAATGCCTCATAAATTACTTCTATCTGGCGAGGACACTGTTGATAATGTCATTTAAAGCTTCGTTGCATGTGGAAGAAACAGCCATAACTTTTACGTTGTTGTGACTGGGTGATTACAACAGTATTCGGTCAATTCCTGGTACAGTAACAGTAACAAACCTATCGGTTTATTATACATTTCATCTTCTATATAAAACTACTGTCGTTGGTATGTCGGCCATGATAACTTACATCATAAGCTTCTCCATAGCTTGCATGGAGTTGCGCTAAGAAAGTTGTATATATGAACATATTTTGCTCTGGGAATCTAACCCAGAACCATGCAATACATGGTCCTTTCAAGGACAAATTTTGAGTACCATATACAACTTTATTCAACAAGAAACGACTGCGCAGAAGCAATGACAAAATAGTGCACCACAATCATTGCGACGAAGTCGGCCCTATATAGTTGGACAAATCTAGTCGTTTTTTTGGAAAACGACTAGATTTGTCCTACAAATCTAGTCGTTTGGCCCAAAACGACTCGCTGTCGTGCACGAAGGACAGTACAGTTGTAGTGTTACACTGCAATTGTATTGCCCTTCTTGCACGGCAGCTTGTTGTTTTGGGTGCCCCCCGAAATGCAGGTCCCCGACTGGCCAGCATAAGGTAAATGATTAAGTAGAAGAAATTTACTGCAGGTTTAAACGTTCCTTCAGTAGCCTATCGGTACCGGCAACTGTTTTCGAGAGTCACTCACACCCTTTAGGTTCGTCCCTGTGTTGTCGCAAGCGAGGGACGATCCACAGCAAACACCAAAGGGCGTGGCTTTTCCCAATACAGTTGCCGTTACCATTCGGCCACGGAGGAAAAGTTAAACTCAACCGACAAATCGGACATGTCTTTCCGCACTCATTAGCATGCAAATAAAAAAAACACACACACCAAACGCTCTTCAGGAGCGTTTTTGAGCGAAATAAAAACATAACTATAAAGGAAGAAATATAAGAAATATCTGAGTTGAAAGTTGTGGCTAAAAACCCTCAATTTAAGCTAAAAATTAAGCTTAAGGCTTCGTAAACAGGAATACCGAAAATTCAATTTTGTACATACGGGATATATATACCATGAATCAATGCTTTGTGACGTCAGTTACAGCATAGCTTCGACGGACGTACATCAGAAAAAATCGAGGAAACTCTTTATTTTCTGCCAAAATAAAAAAAAGAAGTCAATTAAATGCTACAGAAATTGCGACGAGACCATAATGGACGTTTTGTTAAATTTTGGGCCAAATTGGAAGAGGAATGATGAAGAAATTATTGAGAAATTTCAATGTTAAATCATGGTGGTCAAAGACAAGATGGCGGACGTCTTCTTCTCTAATCAAGAAAATGAAACGAAACTGCTTCAATGGTGTTGGAAGTCAACAATATGTTATATGTGTTACCCTGTAAGTTATTATGTAACTACTCTTAATGTATAAAACTATTATGTTTGACTTTTTTTACTTTTTACCAACACATTTAATATTTTTATCCTATTTTTCTTAAAAAATGTTACCAAAAAATTCGTTCATTGCATACATTTCAATACACAACATGATAATTATTATCAAATGATACAGTATAGTGTTCCATTGCACATTTTTTCCTAAATATAACCCTGTTAGATAAAAATTCACCCCCCTCTGAAATTATATTACAGGTCCCCCTCTCCTTTTCTACAAAACACAGCCTTAATTTATCTGTAAAATGTCGCTATTTTATTTAAGATATCTAAACATTAATGAGCTATTTTTTAATTCCCGTAGTGAGTCTATCAAAGCCAAGATAAACCGTGGCTAAAGAAACTAAAACAGCAGATGGTGAGTTGGGTTTTTCTCTGGTAAATTAATTTACGCGATATATTGCATCTGACTTTAGAAGTTGATGGATGAAAATTAAACAATGTGTCAACCACAAAGCATTGCGCCCCAAACCTGCTTGGCGGCCATTTTAATGGCGGAATAATAGATGTTTCGGTTTTCAATCCATAATATATTACTACCATCCTGTGGTTATACTTGCTAATTTTAACTTTTTTATACTAAAATTGCACCAAAGAAATGTTTATTATCTTCATTTGTTGCTATTTCTCACTTCCGAAGGTAAAGATGTAAACAAATGCATTGTGGTTGACAATTATCACTTATTTACTGAGACCGAGGGAAACAGTGTGTTTTGTGGACCCTCGACCGTCGATGTTTCCCTCGGCTTCGCCTCGGGAAACATCGACGGTCTCGGGTCCACAAAACACACTGTTTCCCTCGGTCTCAGTAAATAAGTGATAAATGACTCTTAATTACACGGCGGCTTGAAGATATGACTTTTATCTTCGAGTGATGAAAACAATATTTTACGAACGAGCGCAGCGAGTGAGTAAAATATTGTTTTTAACACGAGAAGATAAAAGTCATCTTCAAGCCACCGTGTAATGTTCTGTTTATTATATAGTCCCAAGAAAAAAGTTGTGAAACTTCACGCTCAAAAGAAATCTTCATGCTAGTGAAGATATGGAAAATATCTCACTGTGTATTTTTCAGTATCTCACTCTCTACTATATAATAAGGTATAATATCCTAAGGCTGTCAACTATTTCACACATTAATACGGTCGCTTGAATCAACAAAAGTATCGCCAATTTCTGCAGAAAAACTCAGGCACAAAACACCTTGGATACAGCCCAGTCCCAGGCTCTCTCTCTATTCGCTGCTTTGATATATTTAAATAAGTCTTAAAAGTTTTATGCCTGGGTGTGCTGTGCGGAACGCTTCAGCGAGAGAGCCTAGCAGATTTCGGTAAAATGGTCCCTGATTTCAAAAAGTGGTCCCTGGCCTGGTTACCAAGCATACCGCATTTGTAAATAGAAAATGTTATAGAAGTTTCCTATGCGTTTATAATTAAGTCATTAGTTTTGCTCTAATGCTGTCGGAACAATGAAATAGGCTACGTTTCCCTACCATACGGTCAGAATGGAATAACGGGCTAAATATGACTCGTGTTTACTAAAATATAAGCCATATTAATGCTATCTAGAAGCTTGAAAATTATGCCGAGTCTCAGACTAAAAATGTTTTGACAACACAGTCATGTCGGGCAAATAATTCCAATCTCCTCAGCTACTTAGACCTGTCAAGTAGAAAGCGTAGTTGTGTATACCAGTATGGTCTAGTGTTGATCACAACTTGCGAGTATAAAAATAACATCAACGATTATACGACGATTGCTCAGACTCAGTATCGTAAATTTGTATATATATATATTTTTTTTTTAATTGAGCACATTTTTAATACAGTTTGAATTTGGTTATGTACACATCGAACATGATCAACGAACATTGTCGTATTTACAAGGTTATTTGTATATATAAATTTTCCACCATATTAAAAATACTGAAATCTGCTAGGCGTTCTGAACACCTTTAGCGGTGACGTCACACCTAGGTCCCAGTCTCGTACTACATCCACGTTTTTTTCTCGCGCTTGCTTCAGAACGACTGGGACTAGGCTGCCTTGGATACATTTTCTAAACTTGTTAATACTTTTCAGAGTTAAAAGTTGCATATCCACAGCATTATTTCGATAAAAACTTTATTGAAGGAGTTTAAGCATTTCTAAACTTTTTTTATCCCTAAAAAATATCAACAAATTTAGAAAATATGTCCAACGTGTTTCGTATCTGATTTTTTCTTCAGGAGTCCGCGTTACTTTTGTTGTTTCAAGCGACTGTGATTGTATTAAATTAATGTGTGTAAATGTATTGTATAAAAGAATTGCCAGCCTCAGGATATTATACAAAATAACAATACAATGACATAATCATGCAAATTCAGGCGAACTTTATGCGGTTTTTTTAAATGTTTTTAACGCATCTTAAGGTTACTTCACACGATGAACGTGCGTTTTAGTCTATTGGACATTCCTCAACGAATTTTAGGTGTAACTTTACCAAATTTTCAGTGAAGAAAGCAAGGAAAATGCTGATTTCGAAAATGTTCATTTGATGGGTGTTCTGTTTAAACATTTTCAGTATTGGCTGACTGAATAAGTATATAGGTACCTTAATAAAAACATCAAAATATGTTTATAGTTTACTTCAACGATTGTCTAGATATCGCAATTCGAATCTTCATAGGCATGGTAAAAAAAAACGTGTGCGGAAAATTTCTCTTCTTTAGTGGTTTTTCTGATATGCCCTGATTCTTGGATTTGTCACTGATAATTCACGAAGTTGTCAAAGAAAACGTCATATCAGAAAAACCATTGAAGAAGAGAAATTTTCCGCACACGTCTTTTTTACCGTACCTATGAAGATTCAAATCGATATATGTAGACAAACGTTGAGGTAAACTATAAATATATTTTGATTTTTTATGGGATACCTATGTATTTCTTTAGTCAGCCAATACTGGACATGTTTAAACAGAACACCCATCAAATGAAGATTTTCGAAATCAGCATTTTTTTGGCTTTCTTCACTAAAAATTTGGTAAAGTTACACCCAAAATTCGTTGCGCCATGTTCAATAGACTAAAACGCACGTTCATAATGTGAAGTAACCTTAAGTGAACACATATATTTTCTGGGTTGCCTATGATACTAGTTGCTTTTCAACAAGTAACAATGGTTAAAAAATTCTGCCCTTTGTAAAATTTCCTCTTGCTATTCTTTTTAAATTCTTTCCTAAATTTTTTTATTGTATATTTTTTGGTAGAGTGATATGAAGGCAACAACTGCACGACACAATTAAAGCGAGAGCAGAGAGGAACAAGCAGATGAAAAAGTAGCAGAAGACGTCGACAGAATGACGACCAAAAGAAGCCACAACTATCCAAAGATGATAGCAAATGTACGGTTTGTCACTGTTATTTTGGTTCTAGACAATTAAGAGGAATTCTGTTTATTTTTTATTTGTTATTCATTAGGTATGCCACCGCATTATATTTTCACCCAGATTTTGTATTTTTTATAACACGTTAAGTTTAGTATTATTTTATTTAAAACTCAAGTCAAATTTAGCGTTGCAAGTCCTATTGTTGCACTTGTTAACTGAATTTTCCCCATTTTTTATGGTGGTTCACTGTAAATTGAGCGGAGCATGCATGATGGATCATCAACAGAAATGAAGAACAGAGACCAACAAAACAGAAGCAACGACGATGTAAAGATACAGTGAATGCATGTAAGTTTTGTTGGAGCAATGTTTATGCAATAATTTAAATATTTTTACAGTAGATTTCATAAAACTTTGACCACAAATGTTCCGAACTTCGTTCGTTGCGAAGTTCGCAGGTTCGTTTCGAAGTTCAAAAGTTCATAATGAGATTCACAAACCAGTTTGTAAACGACACATTTAATTGGCTTCTTCTACATCAGGTACCAATCAGGGTCTTTGTTTACAAATTGGCTTCTGAATTCCAATATGAACTTACAAACTGAAAAATTCGTGGTTAAAAAATTATTGTTATAGCTTTGTTACACCTGCGCCCCCCCCCCCCCGGTATCCGCCGATGTTACTCAGTTCCTCTTTTATTTCTGTGTGAATGCTACACCCTGACGTTTATGTACTTTTGAAATTTTAGCATTTCTATCTTTAAAAGTATATTAAGTAAATGTTTCTATACCATGTGTGGTGAAATATTCAATCTATTTTGTTACTGATGGGAAATATCGTTTCATTTCAGATGAAGACATACAACCAACAGATTCTACAACATCGCCAAGATGAGAGTAACACAAGTTTTATCAAGGTAAGAGAAAATCAAAAATGATTCCAGCGATTTTTAATCGTTTCTAATTAAAATACAATCTGAAACCCGAGCCTGCAATCCTCCGTGGAGGCTGGAAGAACCCTCAGGAAGCCTCCACAGAGTGACAGAGGATTACAGACTCGGGTTTCGAGATTGATTAAAAAACATTAAAATACTCATTAATAATTCATAAACCTTGTGGCAAATCATGTCAGCCATAATATGTCACGTGGAGTAACTTTATATCTGATAAAACACATGTGGCATTACATTATTGTTCATCCTAATTAGCATGATTATATAATGGTTCATCCTAATTAGTATTCTTTTGTAGTCGTATTTTAAGCTATTCAAAACACTCGTTGTCGTGTTTTATCAGATATAAAACGCTCGGCGCAGATCTGATAAAACACTCCTACTCGTGTTTAAAATAGTACAAAAAAACTATTTCAAAAATTTTTGATAAAATAACTTTCTCTAAAAATGTCAATTTATCCTTCAGGTAAAAGAAATTTTACATCAAACCACATCCTACGAGCTTGTACGGAGAGAAGACAAAGGCGAAGTGAAGATAACTAGATTAACCAACCAACCAACCAACCATGGATCCATCAACAGAACGTCGATGCCTGATCAATAAAACAATTACGAAAATGCAAAAGTGATTTGTATAGATGTAAGTGATGTTATAAAACGTTTGAAATACATGAATGCAGGAATTTCTAGCTTTTTCAATCCTAATAATATAACTAGTCCTTTACACTCGTGAGTTTTTCAAAAACTTCAAATTACACTCGTACTTCAGACTCGTGCAATTTTGATCGTCTTTGAATAACTCACCCGTGCATTTTTTTTCAAATTGCATGTACTCGAAACCGTACAAATGCCTATACCAACAACTATAATTCCAAAACGTTGTTTCGATATTTAAGTATCATGCACGATCATTATTTCGCGTTGTTTCAACAGGTAGGAATTTTGTCCGCGCTGGTCAATAATTTTTGGCGCATTCGAAAAGTTCTTTTAAACGTTTTTGAGTTCTTTTCTGGCCGTTTCTGGTGAACAGCAGATTCACAAAAATATAAATTTATTTTCGCAAAAATGTACTGGACCTTTCTAACTCATTCACTTGTCAAAGTATTTTTGATAGGAAAATTCGCGATTTTCCGTTGGAAACCTTTCTCTCCTTCCCAACGAAGCATTAAATAACAATATTTTTTCAGTACAAAAACTAGGCCAAAAAAACAAATAAAACGCTCAAAAATCAAATGTAATATTTACCCACCCCAAGTCTCCTATCTGTTCACCGCGTTTATTTTGACGCGTGTGCAGACAAAATTCCTACCTTTTTGTTGTTTCAACAAGAAGTAATAGCCGATTGTATAATGGCAAACATGCACAAATTCGTCCTACCTACACCTTGACCTTCTATTTTTAATTTCGGCGCCTTGGGGCCGGGGCAAAGGATTGACAAAAGCATGTGACGTCACACTTACTAAATGCTAGCCCAAAATTGATCAAAACCTGCCGAGTAAAGGGCCTAAGTCTAGGATATCATCGACATTATTAATTATATACATCAATAATATTAAATGATCATTTGAAACATGCATGAAAAACTACGCAATTCAAAATTGTTATTATGGGATAATAAATGCCGTTGAATTGGCGCCGATGCCTAAAATATTAACGGCAATTTTTTGTCTGCGATAATTTGGTAAAATTGTGAGGACTGGATATCTGATAGAAAATCCTAGCAATTACCAAATATCACTCAAGCCTTTAACATGATTCGATCCTATTTCATGGACTCATGGATACTTTTTTAATTTCAAAAGGTGAAGCGATGAAATGTTTATGAATTATGTGATGAAAAGAGATGATGAAAAGACCAAAAAGATCCACTCACGAATGGCATGGAGCCAAGAAAAGAATGACGATTCGCAACAGTCGGAAACCACAACATTGCTAATATGAAAGTAGCGAAAATTTTTACCAATGCAAGTTAGTTAAAGACAAAATACTTATCTAAAGATCAAAGGGGATTCAAGTGAATACAATGATTTTCTCATTGTAAATAAGCATATTTTTTTGACTTTGTTTTCCAATTTACGGAGTATAGAAATAATTGTCCTCAAAATCAGGTAAAACGTTTGGGTAAAACATTCTTTCAAAACCGCGATAACGCAGTGTTTTTGCGACGAGCTCTTAGAGTCTGTATGGTAACGTTCATTTCAAAATTTTTATTATAACAACAAAAAGTTTCCAAAATTGATAGTAGAGAACTGTTCGTATAAAAAAGATCGAAGCAACAATACCTTAAAAGCACTAAATCTTGCCTGGAATATTTCCGATTGTAGTATTTTCTGAAAACAAAATATTAATCCGCGTCACCCATAGTAGTTGATGTAAAATAAACATGGCTTGGAATCTAGCACCAAGCAGTTTCCTTTTTTTCATCGTCAGTTGGTGTTGATAATAAAAACGAAATCACTGTCAGATGTGGTCCCTATCTATGTTTATATTCTGTTAACTATGGGATAAGTCTTGGATTCACAATGTAATCAACATACGATGAAAACAAACAACCCTATTTCAAGCGTTAAAAAGTTAAGAATTCGTGGATTTATTTTTCGTGTGTTTAATTAATTCCCATGGGAATATACTATATACTTTGTTTTTATGCCAATTTTTTTTTATTTTGCGCAAGCGCGTAAAGGTCTTCTGCAATTTTTTTTTTTTTTTCCCGTATTTTTAATTCCCAGGGGAATATATATGCTTTGTTTTCATGTTGATGTTGATTTCATAGTAGAAATTTGACTTTATAATGAATGAATCCTCTTTGATTATATGATAAGTATTTTGTTTGTGCGCGCTAAAGCAAATTACGGAAGTGGTTTGAGAGCAGCTGCGACGTGCCATGCAAATGATCGTCAAGGCGTTCCGGTTAAATGAGTATGAGAATTGCGGTTAAGTCTGTTTCGATCTGTTTGAACTATATATATAAACATTACTACATGCTCACTAAATTAGCGACATTGTAGTTTTCGTTTCGATTAGTTTCAACTCTTATGGAAAAGTTTTAAAAATAATTCTATGCATTCTCATGCTTATTTAATCGAGCCTTTGGCTTTGGCTCTGGTTTAGGTAAGTTTAAGGTTTGTATTTACTTCGGACCAGTTAACAAAACTCAAGCCCATGCCCTTTCAGTTAAGATTTTACGTTTCGAACCAGAATCCAAAACTCAGTCTAAGTGGGTTATAGGACAGCTAGTGATAACGTAATTTATCTTTTTATTTTGCTTTTTTGTTTATAACGTAATTTATTAGCTAAATGTATGGAGTGCGAGAGTGTGCGCCGTGTGTATAGGATGCATGGGGTTAGGCTAAACTAAAGGAATTAAAATTTTGAGAGCATATTTATTCATTTAAAGAGAAAATATCTTTTCTGAACAAAAGGACTAATTTCCTAACATCGGCAAAATTTAACTAAAATTATAGTCTGCTAGTAAAGCATCTAGAAGGAAAAATCTGGATTTCGAGTATAGAGGCAGGTAAGAAACTCACCTGTTTGTATAAGCGGTCTTTCTTCTGATCGTCAACCTTTAATTTATCTGTTTACATTTGGCCTAAAATATTCGATTAATTGAAATTAATTATGTATACTTTACCAAAATTTTAATTCCTTCAGTTTTAAGGGTGGGCATTTCGGGCTGATGGCAGGTTGGGCAGTTGTGAGTGTCTGTGTGATGGTGAGGAAAGCGGAAGTTACGAATGGAATGCAGGTAGCTTAGGACCAAGGCAGACAGCTTAGGACCGAGGCAGACAGCTTAGGACTGAGGCAGGCAGTTGGTAGGAATCAGTGGGGGGCACTTGTCATTTCGGCCATGGGATTCAAAATTTGCATGCCGAGTATTTGTTACTAATGCTTGTTGTTTTACATTTGCTAGGTATGCGCGTGGCTGCTCTCAAGAGATAATCGACTTAGCATTTGCATATTTAGCATTTGCTAGGTTGGTCTTCTCTTCGCCCCGCTACCCCGGCTGGCTCTCTGAGTGCTACCTCTACTTTAAGTAGAAGTACTTTTACTGCATAGTAGAAGTACTTCTACTTGAAGTAGAGGTAGCACTTGGGGAGCCGGCCGGGGTAGGGGAATTTTTTTTATTTTTTTTTTCAATTCCCATGGGAATTGAATTTTTAATTAAAAAGGAGTCACTTGTATAATTAATGAACAATTTATTGAAAAGAATTGTAATTACAAATTGAATACCAATAAAAAGAGAACAACCACTGCATACTTATTTAAATAATAACAATAGAAGAAAACAGAACATGGCACAAAGAGAACAATTAACATTGTGTTTAACACAAGTGAATAAGCACAAGTGAAAACACAACATTAATAACTTGTTTTCCCGCGAATTAACATTAAAAAGTTAATTCTTGAGAAATAAGAGAACCTGGTCTTTTCAAGATAAATGTTTATACTTCAAAATAAATATTGTAAAACAACTCTAACGTCGTACTCGGTAACGATAAACTTTACAGGAGTTTGACTGAGAAATCGAAAGCGTAACACCAGGTTGTTTTACAAAGAAAATATATGGCTCAAAGACAAAAGTATAAATCGAACATGCTTTTACTTTTTTGAATACGGACAAACTCTTTTTGGTGAAGTGACCAAAATTTTCGCTTGAGTATGGAAAATAATGATTTTATCGCAATGTTTAGATGCTAAGTGAGTCCATTCGTTGTAATGCGAGATCAGTTGTCAAGACATTGTCGTTGACAACAAAATTCCACATTGCTTGAAGCAAATTAAATTCCTCAAAGTGCCTTAACATTTTGACAATGCATTGACAGCATATTTCATTAAATTCAGAAATGATATTTTTAAACATCGAAACATTACGACTAGATCATTGGTTCCATACTCAATTGAACATATATAAGAACATTTCTTTCAAGTGCCAAATCAAGAAATATTTAAAAATTTGAAACTATTCCGCTGTCTTTCGGAGCCATATACCTAGTTTTTAACCTGACAACTTTGAATTGTTTGTATATAATGTTAATACTAATTAAGTGATGAAAATGCAGTTCAACAAATTAAAAGAATGTTATTTCTCCAATTCTGATTGATTTTTCCGAACAAATATTCAGTTTCAATTTGCTTTGCTTAGGAAAATGGTACATTTCTCGTCCTCGATAAATACATTAAAATGATACACATTAATCCATTATCTTAGAAACAAACATCTCCTAAATTTCATTTATGAAAAAAAAAGCTCTTCAGAAAATATTTTTGATGCAGAACATGTACAGAAAGACACAAAATATGGTTAAACCAAACTTTCAATTGTTTATAAAATATTTTCTTACTTTTTACACTTTTATTTGTATTGGTCAAAACCAAACGTTTCAATTGGAAAAAAAGCTTTTGGTTTTGCATAATGAAAAACAGGAAATAAGTTTTGGGTATATTTTGCTAACTCAAGAGTAAACAAACAGTTTTGCTCAAAGTCCTCATAAGGAACAAACAGTTTCAACACAATCCTTAATCTTAGAATCTCTTTCAACAAATAAAATATTATATTGCATTTTCATCAATTCTATAGTATCAACAGTAAACCAAACACAAACATCAAAAGATATATTTAGTAGTAGCAGTTGTCGTTTAAACATATGAAATTTCATTGAAAGGTCAACAAAGATTGAATTTTAGTTAATTTTGGACAGCATGCTTGTCAGGTTAAAAACAGACCTTTTTGAAGTATAAACTTACCTTTACATTCTCGTTGAAAAGACCAGTACATATTCGAGTGCCATGTAAACCTGTTTGCTTATATTATTATTACGACTATTATAACACACCATTACAAAGTGGAACTATTTGAAAACAATGCTGAACTGAAGCAAAAGAAATACATGTAACATAGAAAACTAACAAATTAATTTTAATTGCCAAACAATTATTAACCACAACCAGTCAATAAAAATGTTAAAAATCTTCTCATCTCAGTATCCAAACCAAAGTACAAAATTAATTAATCTGATTCGAAATAGAATATGAAATTCTTGAAAGCTTAAAAAATTTCACCTTAGTTAATTAATTAGGTCAGATTATTTTAAAAATCAAAATAGAATTTTAAAAATATATTGTAGAACTTTTTATTCAGATTATAAAATTTGGTACATAAAGAGTATCTCAGTCATTGCCTATCTTGTATGTGATGAAACACACACAAATTTTGATAACTACTAAAAATATGGTTAATTCTGTGCCTGAATCTTGATTCAAATCTTGTCAAATTATGCATTGATTAACACCTAGCACAAAGAACTGTCAATCTTATCTTCAGCCTCGATATTCCATGACATTGCTTTGCCAAACAATTAATATATACTTTTGAATGTCGATTGTTTTTCCTTCCTTATAATACAAAACATATTCCAAAGAACGTCATCCTGTAATCTGGTTGTGGTTTTCCTTGCCATGTATGACAATCAATTTTCTTTCATTTTCTTCATTTCACATTACCCCCCCCCCCCAAAAAAAAAATAATATAGTTTGCTGCTTCAGTTCATCCATATTCAAATAAGTTCCACTTTGTAATGAAGTAAAGGCAATCTCCTAGCTTATTTTGACCTTAACTGTTTGTTTTAAATTTGGGAAAGTTTTTTTAAAAAATCGGAAAGTTTGTTCCAAAATTCAAATTTTGTTTTAAACCACAATGTGGTTGGCACATCCAGAATCAAGATTGAAAGAAACATTGTGATTTTCAGATGAACTTTCCAAACTTTCAACAAACACTGAAAGTCCACTTAAACATGAGAAGATTGAGATGGATTAATATATGTTTACTGTTTTCACAATGCACTTCGATAAGTTCAAAACACAAATTGTTATTGTGATGAGACAATTGTTCATCAATTGATGTTCTTTTAATCCTTTAATAAAACACACTCCAAATTAATACCGAAACATGAAAGATGACTATAAGAAAAAACTCAATTTTGAATTAAAACTAATGAAGTCACATGTCTTATTTGTAAGTGACCACTTTGGTTGTAATAAAAACCACCTCAATCTTCTCAATGTTTAACTGATATACTGTAACAAAGCCAACAGTTTGTTATTTTCTGGCTTGCTCATAAAATGCTTAAATATGCTTTGAAAATTATAGACTTTCTGTGATCAGTAGCAACACAAAACTTAATCAAGTAATTGAAAGACCACAAAACTGAAAATACAAATCGAAATAGTGGTGTAATAGTAGAATAAAAGAGTGCAATTATTGTGCACTCACCATATTTAGGTGTAAATATTGCATTTATTACTTTTGTGATATTTTGTGTCATAAGTGACATAGTCAAGCTATTTTTACAATAATCTGCTGGGAGTTTCAAAACTATTGATCACAGGCAATCATATAATGTTCAGAACATTTCATGTAAGATAAGACAGGAAAATATTAAGACCTTTTATATACTTTCCAATGACAGTGTTCATTTTTGTGATCAAAAACACTTCAGTCAACAACTTGAGACATTCTTTGAAATTGCAACACACATCTAGAGAATTTAAAAAACTCACTATTGAGAACATGAAACAAATTAATATATTATGAAGAAAATTGTCCAAGAAATAAAGGAGGTTAGAAATAATTAGAAGAAAAATCATTTACCTCTAATTCAGGATCTTGGAATGTGTCCATTTTTCACAATCATGAGGTCTTGCGACATTCTTGGAACTTGCTGTATATCTACAAAAATTTATGAGAATTTTACTGAGGGTGTGAATAGCTTGGCTAGCAAGATGAAAAACTCAATATGAACATCGGAGTCTGAAACAAAACAATATCCTATGGTTCTGGTTTTCCAGCCAACCCTATTCTCTCTGCTCTGTTTTTTCTAGATGTGGGTCGTTTGCTTACTTGCCTAGTGCCTACGGTACCCTATTTTTTGTTGTTTGCTTTATGATGTAACTTAAATAACCTGTGATGTTACAAAAATACTGTCTGTTGCCCACAGTTACTGCTTCTTGAGATGTTTATATGTTGTGGCAATATGCCAACTGATCACAGCCATTGCTGACCCTCAAAAGCCAAAAAAATATTTGAAGAAAATGTGTTTTATTCAAGCCACCTATCCTATTTTTTTTCAGGATCTGAAACCTAAACCATATATTTTTTGCAATGTTCAACACTGATCAGAAAAATGCCGATCAATTGGAAAATTATGTTAAAATTTGATTGGAGTTTTTTTTCAACTTCATTTCGATTTCAGGTGTCTGAAATATCAAGTTAATATGCTTTTACTGTTGGTGCAATAGAAGTGTTGATAAAATATTGCACCAATTCCTTTCCTCAAGTTGATCAATTCATTTGATAGAAAATTGATCAACTTCCTGTTTAGGCCAAAAAAATATGTGGGTTTCCGGTTTCCCCGACCCTACCTAGCTTTTGGACGTCGAAATCCCGAACCTAAACTTTTTTATTGGATCATGCTTGTAAGCAGGGTCTTAGCTAGAAGGCCGTGTTGGCCGTGTTATCGCGGCCAAAAGAGGGGAAACACGGCTAGATAAAATGAACGCGGTTTCACTATTTATATAAGGCCGTGTACAGTAGGTTCATAAAATAAGATGGTGCTACAGTACTTACAACAGACAGAACTTCTTCCAATTTACGCCGTAAGAAAGTTTGTAAAATCTACTGTTGTTGAATTGGCAAAGTGATCCGTGATGTTTTAATGTTTTGATGGATAATGGGAACTGTATGGTGTTAATATGGTTTTAAATTCCCCCTGGATTCGCTGAAATAACTTAATATTTTAATGTCAGTGCGAATATGAGCGTATGCTCGCCTTGTATTTGGTTGCGAAGCATAGAACAACCACAGGCATTGTTGTTGGCGAGCATAACTAAAACCGTGATTTTGCTATTCAAGGTAATCGACATGTGCACGCCCTGGTCATTAGAAACACGCCCAAGATCTAAAATCCTAGCTAAGACCCTGCTTGTAAGTATTTCCACTTAGAGAAAAATTTTGTGGAAAACTGAAATTTGAGTTTTTATAAGAAGAAACCGGAAACCCACATATTTTTTTTGGTCTTACTGGCATGCTTGTTCCCAATTGGTCAATCAGTCACTGAAACGTAAGCCATTGATTGATTGATTCAAACACACAGGAAGTTGATCAATTTTTCAACGAATGAATTGATCAGTTCTAAGTAATGAATGGATGCGATATTTTATCAGCACTTCCATTGCAACGACAGTAAAATTTAACAAATACTGTCCTTTTTATTTTTTAGCAGTCTCTGAATCCTTGCCAGCCCATGTCGGAAAAAGGATTTACAACTGCTACTGGTGCATATGTTTGAGCCTGGAGTAGATGTGCTTCAAAACCAGGGTGAATCTCTCAATTGTTCTACGCCGAAGATTTTTCGAATTCATGTAAAGCTGTGCCAAAACCTGCGCCAAGAAAATTGTCACGAAAAAAATATGCGGTTTTCAAGAATTTCCGAAATTTTCACCAAATTTTCAAAATTTGGCTTTTCATTCCTCTCAAATCATAATTTCAAATTTACTAATATATAAATGCTCAATTGCTTCACCAAATCTTTGCCAAATTTGCTGCGCCAAATGGATCTTTGGGATCATTCTGCGCCAGATCAATATTTGCGATCAATCTGCGCCAAAAACGTGCGCCAAATTTTGTTTGAGTCGCTGTTTTGCGCCGAAGATCTTTCGGAAATACACCCTCAAATTCACCCTGGCTTCAAAAGAACAATCTTCTTTTCAAACCACCCTCAGCCTACAAACTTTAAATTAATCCTAGAAGCACACTTCCCGAGAAGACTCATCTACCTCCTACCAGCCGCACCTCCTAGCTTTTCACTATCAAAATTAATTACACCAGCCTGCAGTGTTGTCTAGAAAGTGAAGAAACACAATTCTGGGATTTTGCCTTATTATTTGTAGCAATTTTCATTTCTTATTTTTATTTGTATTTAACTTTGTTTTGCAAGCAAGAATCAAATACTTTGTAATGTTGCTATTAAAGGCAAGGCTTTTTCTGCATATAAATGAACAAAAACACCATATTGTTAAAATATTTTGTCGCAAGATTGAAAGTTGTACAAGCTGATGAAATACGTCCCACCAAGCGCCTCGTCTTTGTATACGGCATTTTAATAATATAAACATTTTCGGCAAGAACTCAGAGATGACAACTTTTTTCGACAACTTAAACAATTCTAGATCTTAGTTAGTCTTTTTACTCACTTGGTCGACAATAGTTATGAATTAAAACACGGTTTAAAGTTCGACAATCGCTCATAAATCGAACCACGTGCAAAGCAAAAGCACAAACTTTATGTCGAAATATCGCATTAAATTCGGGCTCGATGTCCTAAGTTTACATGTATATTGGCAATCTAAGTCCTCTACTACAAGGATTGATATTAAATAAAGCATATTACCTTCCAATAAAGGTATAAAGTTTGATAAAAAATGTCCTCCATTTTAATTCTTCCTTGCTTCTCCATTCTTCGCCACGCGGTAAAAATTGAAATTCGGAAATTCCCGGCACTCCGTCGGGATCTCGGCACTGCGCGATACAAGTCGACAAATTCCGAGCTTAAAATAGGGAACGGGGAAAGGGAATGGGGAGTGCCATTCGGGGGAATGCTATAACTTCATTAACTTATGACACGCACTGAAAATGCCATGAACGTCTTTTGTTGTTTCAGAGTATATTCTTAACTCGTACTCGTGTTTTTAGTGATTTTTTCAACTGTCAAAGGATGGACTGAAAAAAAACCTTGAAAAGAAGTTATCTTAAAATATCGGTTTGTTAATAAAGATGCGGTACAATCCGATCTGCGCATGTGCACAAAGGAGCCCTCTTTTTATTTACAAACAGTTTCTTTAGGTTTTTATTTCATTTTATGTTCTTGCAAAGCTTGATTGTTGTCTCTTGACAATTTATTATACTCTAGAATTATGAAAATATAAATAGTTGTGGAATAAAATTCAATATTTTGGATACCGAAATGTAAACAAAGCCTTTGTTTACATACGGACTGTACCGCATCTTTAATTAAAAAAATACGTCAGGAGTCAGAACTCAAGCCTTCGTTTCATGTATTTATTAATATAATATAGTATTGTATTAACATATAATTAAACCAAACTAAGTATAAAAATAAGTTTTTATCAAGCAATGTACAGTGGAGACCTGAATTAATAATTAAGAGCAAAAACTAATA